CAGAGTTTGGGGCCTTGAAGCCGATGAGAATGCTCAGGAGAATGAGAAGACCCCGGGGTGATCTTCCATGGGGGTGGAGGAGGAGGGCAGCGGAAAGACCACGCAGGGTGGCTAGAGAAATAGGGGAGGTTGGAGGCCTAGAAACCCGGAGAGCAGAGTTTTGGGGAGCAGCGTGTTGTCAGGCATTCAGTGCAGTGGAAAGTTCTAGGAGCACAGATCACTGGGGACTAGGGAGAGACAGGCTTCCATGAGTTGAGGAGTAAATGGGAATAGAAGGAAGGATAATGGGTACTGTGTGCCAGGTCCCTGCTCGGTACGGAGGATAAAGTGATCCCCACCCTCAGAGATTGGATAAGCTAGAGAAGGAGACAAATATACACCAAGAGAATTTTAATATTATTTGGTAGGCACAGTAATGGAGAGATGGCACTGGCTGTTATGGGAGCACTGAGAAAGGTAACAACCTAGACTAGGAGACTGGGGATTTCTGTTGGTGATTAGTGGAGGAGGTGACTTGGTAGTAAGCTAGGTCTGAGAGAATAAGAAGTTAAATCAGACACAGGATTATGGGTAATCTGGTTGTGAGAGGGACATCCCAGATAGAGGGAACAGCATGAACATAGGGTATGGAGAAAAGAAATTACACGGCGTGTGGTTCAAAGCAGAACAGTTCAGTGTTGCTGGAAGGTAGAATGTGAGGCAGAGAGTGATGAGAGTCAGGCTTGGAGACCTGTGTCCTATGTCCTGTGTTAAGGGCCTGACCTGGAGGCCGGGGGTTGAAAGCTTTTGGTCAGGGAACAGTATGACCACCCTTGTCTTGTAGATGGATGGTTCTGGGCTGTGTACAGGGTAGATTTGATGGAGATGAGAATGCAAGGAGTAAGACCACTTCGGAGGCTGCTGCATAATTTACAGGGAGACTGACCTGATATAGCCTGAAACAGTGAAGGATAAAAAGGGGAGTGGACGGAGTCCTGAAGTATTGGAGTGACAAACCAACCACAGTGGTGATTAATTGGACATGGAGATTGAGGGAGAAGGTGGAGTTGAAAATAACTCAGTTTCCAGCATAGGTGGCTGAATGGGTTAGGTAATGTAACAGAGGAGGAGCATGTTCCCACGTAGGTGTTTTGGGGGTCTGTTGGTTAGGGAGGTGATGAGTTTGGTTTTGGAGTTATTGATTTTTTTTCCTAACAGTTTAATTAAGATATAATTCACATACCATACAATTCACCCACTTAAAGTGTACAATTCATTGTGGGACTTTTTAGTATATTCACAGTGTTTGCAACCATTATAATCTAATTTTGAATATTTTCTGGACACTTTGATATTAAAAAATTGTTTTCATTATGGAAAATTTCTAATATACAAAAGTAGAGTCATATAAGGAATGTCTATGACAGGAATAGTGATTTGGGTTGTCTCTGGTGGAGATGCCCAGCCAACATGAGAATATGATTCTTAATCTTGGGGAAGCCATCTGGGCTGGAGATAGATTTGGAAGTTGGTACCATGTGCTTCATAGCCAACGATGTGGTATCCTGCAGGAGCCAGGGGAAACGACTACACTTAAAAAATAAGTTTGGCATAGTGGATGTGGGAAATTCAAAATGGACCTAGCTTTGGTGATGGGGGGAGGGCACGAGAGAGACGGAGTATGAAGTAGGAAAGTAGTAGAGAGTATACAGTGCCTTTCAAATCCCTGAGGAATACCACCAGCATTTAGAGGACAGGTGGGAGAGGGGCCAGCCCAAGAGACTGAGGAGGAACCGGAGGGAGGTGGAGGTGAACCACAATCACGCACCACACAGGAGGGAGGTCCTGAAGTCAGAGGAGGAGGGCACCTGTGTCAAGATGTTGACAAGTCAAGTCGGATGAAGCAGGAAAGGATCTGATGCTTTGACCTGTTGGGAGGTTTATTTGTTCTCTTGAGAGTGTTTTTGCTAGACTGGTAAGGACAGAAGCTGGACTGAAGTAGGTTGAAAAGTAAAATGGGGTTGAGAACATGGAGGCACATGGTTGTACAACTTCAGAATTTTTGCAGTGAAGAAGAACAGAGATGGATGGGGAGCTGAAGGCGAGTATGGGGTTTGGAAACTTTTTTTTTTTTTTTTTTTTTTAAGGTGGGCTCTCCTAAAATATGCTTGTTTGCTCATAAAACATTGGAAAGGAGTGTCAGACAGCCCAAGAGGAGATGGGTTCAGAGCACAGAGGAGGGGTTGGTTTTCAGTAAATAGAGGGACAGTTCTTCCCTCTGTAGGGGAAGGTAGGGGTGACAGGTGATGCTGTGCATAGTTCCTCTTTTGTTGGTGGGAATAAAGTCTCTGGCTTCTTTTCTGAGCAAAGTAGGAATTTCAGACATCAGCTAGCGGGGCCCAGGTCTGAGGGCAGTAGCAAAGAGAAAGTTTGAAGTTTTAGGTAGGATCATCAGGGCACAATAACTGGATTATCCTAGCTACATAGACAGGTGCCTGCTTGTCAGTGTTTGTGATGGCAAAATAAAAAGTAAAACCCACTTGTCAAGTTACGGGGCTTCCCCAATTTGAATGTGCACAGGTGTGGACATGTAGAAAGCAGGTGATTCCAGCTGAGACTCCTGCTTTATTTAGCAGGAGAGAACAGCCCTCTTCCAGGCTAATCCATCCTTTCCCAGGACTTCCCACTGAACTGCCATCTTCAGTCCATAACTCCAGCGTTTACTGTCATTCGTGGGGCTCTTTCCTGCTCATCTTTTCTCACTCAGCAGATTATTCCCCAAGACTTCAGCCATGACCTTATGCTGATTGTTCTCAGATTTGTCCACATCCAGGCTCTGATTTAAACTCTAGATCCATTATTTTGTGTGGTTCTAGCTAATGCAACTAGACTTTTTAAAAATCTAGTTTTCCTTGTGTATATTAAAATGTATTATGTTAAGCTGTGATGGTAAACATAGTATAGCACTTGTAAAAAAAAAAAAACAGACCAATGACACAAGCAAAAAAAGAAAAGTAGCTAAATTAGATCTCATAAAAATTAAAAACAGGTGCTATAAAGGACACAGTTCAATAACGAAGAAAACAGCCAACCCAATAAAAATTGACAAAGTTCAGTTCTCTGAAGAAGATAAACAAATGCAGAGATATAGGAACCCTCATAAGTTGGTGATGGAAATGTAAAATAGAAACAGTCTGGCAGTTTCTCAAAAGGTCAGAGTTACCATGTGATCCAGCAATTCCACTCCTAGGTATCTACCCAGAAAATGAAAAACATGTCCACACAAAAACTTGTATAAGAGTGTTCATAGCAGCCTTATTTGTAATCGCCAAAAAATAAACACAACCCAAATGTCCATTAGTTGATGAATTGATAAACAAAATGTGGTGTATACACACAGTGGGATAGTATTCAGTAACCAAAATAAATCAAGTATAAGCCAGGCAAATCTATAGAGACAGAAAATAGATTAGTTTTGCCCAGGGCTGGAGGGGATGGGGATGTACATCTGGTTAAAATGTACAATTCATTGGTTTTTAGTCTATTCAGAGTTATGCAGCCATCACCACAATCCGTTTTTAAACATTTTCATCACCTAGCCAAAAAACCACATACTCATTAACGGTCGCTCCCCTTTCTCCCTCAGCCACCCCCGACCCCCAGCTTTCTATGGATTTGCCCATTCTAGATATTTAATAGAAATGCAGTCAGTGCTGACCTATTCCAGATAAGGAGGGAAGAGGAAGCTTTCAGTGTTTTACCATTAAGTATGATGTTAGCTGTGGGTTTTCATAGATGCCCATTATCAAGTTGGGGAAGTTCCCCTCTGAGCCTAGTTTGTATATTACTTTTTTTTAATAAATAGAAACAGATTTTAAGAGAGTATGAATATTGAAATACATGGGGTTCACAGTTTATTAGTGGAGGGAGTTTATTCAGTGTGAATCTGATCTCTATGGATATAGATATGTGTTAATTGAACAACTTTTCTAAGAAGATAGTGTACCGTGCAAAATTTCAGTACCCTAAAAATTTTTCTCATTGTTTTCCAATCTACCTTTGTCTTTAGTCATGTCATTTTTTTGCCTAGTTATAATAACATTTTTTATTGCCTGTTAATTGTCTTTTCTTCTTAATTACATTTTATTGCATTTTATTTTCATCAGAATACACTCAACTCTCCTTAAGTCAGATTTTTTAAAAAATAATTTCTCTTCTACAGTAAAGTAGTAACAGTGCTTTATGACTTGGAAAGTGCCTTCATATACAATCTTATCTGAATTCTTCTTTTACAGATTTAAAAAGATGGAGACCAGAATGTTTAAATCATTTGTCAGGATAGTAGCTGGGGCTCGGGCATGCTGCTTTTGGAAGTTATTAAATAAGTACTCCTTGACTTGGCTAAATATGTTGAATACACACATGTCATTGGATTATGGTAGAATTCTAAGACAACTTGCCACAGTATTAGTTTCCTAGGGCTGCTGCAGCATGTTACCACAAACTGGGTGGCTTAAAACAACAAATGTATTATCTCACAGTTCTGAAGGCTAGAAATCCAAAATCAAGAGGTTGGCTTAGTCCCCAAATGGAGGATGGGTTCCTTCTTGAGTGCTCAGGAGAATGTGTTCCATGCCTCTCTCCCAGCTTCTAGAGATGGCTGGCAATCCTTGGCATTCCTTGGCTTGTAGCTGCCTAACTCCAATCTCTGCCCCTGTCACATGGCCGTCTTCCCTGTGCATGTGTGTCTCCCCACCTGGCATTCTCCTCTCTGTGTGCCTGTCTCTGTGTCTCTTCTCCTTTCATAAGGACACCAGTCACGTTGGATTAAGGGCCTACCCGACTCTGGTATGACCTGATCTTAATGTACATCTTAATTCTGTCTGCAAAGACCCTATTGTCAAGTATGGCCACATTCACAAGTTCCAGGGGTTAGGACTTCAACACGTCTTTTTGGAGGACACAGTTTAACTCACAACAGCAATTAATGATGTTCTCTTTTGTTACTACCTCCACCTCAGGTGCCCCATGTACCATGGCCCTGGTGTCTGCTGATTCCCGCATTGCAGAACTTCTCACAGAGCTCCATCAGCTGATCAAACAAACGCAGGTAAAAGACCACAGCCCTCCACTCCTAGAGAGGAACATGGGCTGAGATACTGAGCTGTGGAGGTGTGGGTGGGAGTTGTCTTTAGAGAGATTGGACATGCAGGGACCAAGGTGATGTAATGAAGGTAAGAGGAGGAGGGGAATGTCGAGCATGACTACCATTCCCGTTGGATTATCTGTCATGTGCAGGATCTCATGATTCTTTTTGTTTAATAACAGCCATGTTGAGATGTAATTCACACACCACATAATTCACCCATTTAAAGGGCACAATTCAGGGGTTTTCACTGTAGTCAAAGAGCTGTGCAAAAATCATCATCAGTTTCGGAGCATCTCATTGCTTGACAAAAGTGCCCTGTACCCAACTGCAGTCATTCCTTTTTCCTTCCACCTCCTCACTCCAGGTAAACAAAGATACTCTTAACGGACAAGATAGTCTAAGGGTTTACACATTATCTCAGAAGCTGGTCAAGGGCCAAACCTTTTTTTTGGAATGTTCAGGGTTTGAAAACCCAGGCCTGTGTTGTATGAAGGAGAAAAGGTTAGCACTCCCCTTGACAAGGACGGAAGAGGCCCTCGGGTCTGACAACATGTGTACGGTTAAAGCATTGCCACGTACTTCGTGGTATCTAACCACTGTTAAAAAAAAAAAAAAAAAAGAAAAGAGAAAACCCAGGCGCTTAAAGATGTCCTAGATAAAGCAGCAGAAAATTATTAATTTTATGAACTCTTGTCCAAAATACATGTCTTCTTACTATTCTATGTGGCAACTCAGAAAGTAAACATAAAGCACTTCTGGTGTATCCCGAAGCAAGAAATTGTTTGGCGGAAAGGCATGTGTGATAGTGTCTGGGTTGTGAGCTGAACTACCCAGGCCTGATGAGTTAATCTTTTACTGCACAAGGTACATTGTGCTCTTGTGGACAAGGTACAAGGTACTCTTCTGGACATTGGCCTATGATCTCTTACAGCAAAACGATCATATTGGAACATCTATTTTTAGTAAGGCATTTATATTACAGATACAGCAATAGTGTCAGTATGAATATACCTAACATTTGAAGGAGCCACGGGTAGGGATAGACTTAAAGAAACAACTAATCTGTAATATAGAGCTGTTACGTACATTTTCTTATTGTTGTACTAATTTGATTACTCATTTCCCCCCTTCATCTGCCACTATTTGTACCTTATGATAAACTTGTGTAGAACTATTTAGGATAGGAATTAGCTGATGGTTAGCCAAATCCAGCTCTTCCTCAGACCACTCATTTTTCATGAGTGTTACATTCTGAGAAGGCTTTGACTCAGTCTCCCGTGCATTTGGTCATCAATATCAGTGTTGTCACATGACTTATAATATAAGGTAGTTGAAGCTTACCGACAGTGGCATGTGTTACATGATATTTAAGTATGGGCATGGTAAAATTTAGTTTCGTTATAGAACAGATCAGTAAGAATTGTAGAGCTATTTGTTATGTCTTTCCAACGGAATTGGTCCTGCCCATTTACCAGGTATTTTGAACAGGCTTTATTATAGTTAGCCTTAATTCAATTATTTCTGGGTTCCAAGGCTGCTGGGGATAAAGCCAGTCACCCTTTCCCAGCTCACCGGCTTGTACTGAGACTGGTTTCCATTGTGAGCTTTCAGATAGCAGGGATCACCCCCCTGCTGTGGGGAGGACAGGTGATATTCAGAGTATAAGTCCTATCTCTGCTAACTATACTTCAGGGTATGTCTTATTTTGACCACTTCTTGGGTCAAGAGTAGTCATGGTGCATTGATGTAAATTACAAGTGCCCCTAGAGAGCTTCCATAGGTTTGGAGGTCCATAAGATTCTCATAGGTGAACCCTTGGGGCTCAGCAGATTTGGAGAGCCATTGCCCCAAGGCTACTTTAGCCTGCATGTGTCAAGAGGCCCTGGTGCATCAGGGTGCGAGCCCCTTCCCAGCACAGATGGGTCCTAGAGTCATCCAGCATTTTTGTTGAGTTGGCCTGAGCTACTTCACTAAAGCTTCACCATCTTTCCAGGCTGACACCCATCCCCTGCCTGCCTCCTTTAAGAGAACTCACTTACATTTGTTTATTCTAGTTGACAAATCTTCTCCCCTTGAATGCTGCTTCTCATTAAAAATGAATTCAACTTGTCCCACAACGCGCACACCCTTTTCGGTCTGGGGCTGGTGTTGCCTACTGTGCCATGCATTTTGTTTTCCTCTGTACTAATGGCCTGGGTGCAGTTAGGGTATGTATTTTGTACCCAGAAATGTTGGGTACCCTATACTAGAGTTAGTCGAGTGGTAGTCACACCTGGATGTAATTTAGCCTGAGTGTATCATGCAGCTTTTCAGAACCTTCCTGGTTTCAAGGTGGGGCTATTCTCCAGGGAATATGGACCCACCATGTGGTCCCTGTTGCTTCAGTCCTATCAGAAACTCATTTTTTTCCCCTATTATTTTTAGAAGCTTTTCATTCATAAAAACAAAGTTGATATGTATTTGTGCGTAGCACGGTGAGGCACATCAGGCATGTGCTGCTATTCCTAGAGACCTTTGTAAGCATTCCAGCATCCAGGTTTATAGTTGCACAGTTATCATTCTGCAGAGAGCCATGTACCACACTGTCCAGTTGCCCAGGATAGAACGGTTCCTAGAAAATCCTTCCCAAGTGATATCCTTTATAATGGGATGTAACCTGAAAGCTAAAGGTCAAAGCATACTGGCACACATATTGCTAAGTGAAAGAACCCAGTCTGAACGGTTATATACTGCTATGATTCCAACTATATTATATTCTGGAAAGGGCAAAATGAAAGAGTAAAAAGATAAGTGATTTCAGAGATTCAAAAGGAGGGAGGGATGACTAATGGGAGCATAGGGGATATTTAGGGAGGTGAAACTATTCTGTATGATACTGTATGCATTTGTCAAAACCCATAGAATGTACAACACAAAGAGGGAACGTTAATCTGATCTATGGAGTTTAGTTAATAATTATCAGTACTGGTTCATTACTTGTAACAAATGTACCACACTAATGTCAGATGTTGAATAAGGAGAAACTGCTAGGGAAAGCAAGTATATGGGAACTCTCTCTACTATATGCTCGATTTTTCTGTAAACCTAAAACTGCTCTAAAAATTGTTTATTAATAAAAATTTAAAGCTAAAGAAATAGAAGATAATGGACACATTGCTAGAATTCCATTCTGTCATCAGCAGTTAGTTCAGTTTATCATCATTCCATAAAGCTAAAATGCCTCTCAGAGGGATGCCCCTGAGGTTCGCATGCTTCCATCTGACTCCACTAGGTCTAAAAGCAGGGTGGTCTTGGCAAATAAATGGCTTCACCCTTTTGGGCATCTGGTATAACTGAGTTAAGAGCTAATATTACTCTTTTGTTCTGAGCCTCTCGAGGTATTAATACTGAACTTGCCACATGGCATAACCCATTCTTCCTTTTACCCTCAACTACTATTTCTCTTTCATGTTGTTGATTCTTACTCAGACTTTTCTACCTTTGGAAGGGCATTAGGTTCAGCCACTGTGCTGGTCAAGATTGCTAGCAGCAACACAAGTCTAGCAAGTGTCCCATCCCGCATGTCCCCATCCCTGCCCTCTCCCCAGCCATTCCCATTCATGTAGGGTAGAGTTACATAGATACAGGACTAATGGGCTATTTTGACCACTAGGCAGTATAGCTGTGTTCACCATTAACCCATTTTGCCAGATGGAGTGAAGGTACAACCCACCCCCTCAGGCACTTAGAATTTCTGACTGAAAGGTTAAAAAGTGTAGTTAGAATTTCTTACTTAGGGATCATCATGCTTCCGGCATCTTCAGTTGCAGCCCTGGTCCCAGGACCACTGA